TCTCTCTTGGGGACAGAGAGTTAAGAAGTTCCTCTGTGGTTGTGCTGAGTTGCTTTACACCAAATTTATAGCCTCCCCACCCCTCCAGAACCTGGCTCCTCCAATATTCTTACCATGTAGGCTATCCCACAATAATACTAAACCAAATGTTATTATTGTAGAACTTAGACATCCCCATTTGTTTGGGGAATTCTCTGAAAACTCTCTTTTCTGAACAGTCCCTCACGTATCATCCTGTCCATGAAGGCACGCTACCCTCTCTTCTGCTTTCAACCATACCTTTAAAGGAAATTTCTCTATTAGTTTTAAAGGAAAGCTTTGTTTTTAATGCAATGTACTGTTCCTTTTTCATGTTATCCTCCCTTGACATCTGATCACAGCTCCAAGGTCCTCACTCTAAAGCTAATTCCTGATTGGCAATTATGTGTCAGCCTCTTTGATAAATCAACAACTACAGTGTTCTTTTTCCTTTCTCTAACTTTTCTTTTGAAACTTCTTTTATAAAAGAGTGCAAAATGAATCAAAAGTGTAGACTACGCAGTATGCTTGCTGACTTCTGCTATAACACATTCATGTCAATATTTGACTGAAAGACTCTACCTTAATGAATAAAGTGGAAGAAAGCTCTAGGATGATTCCTGATGTCGATTTTACACTTCCACATACATGCATACCTGCACATACATGTATATAAGAGCGCATGTACACACATACACAAGCAAATATATATATATGCCTACATATATGCACACCACATACACAAAAAATGGAAAGAGTTTGCATTTTAATATACACAAAATGTTTTTGGAATAAAGGTTTGTATAAACAATCTATGTTTAAATGTCCATGGAAAATTATTTTGACACATTTTAATTGTAAAAATATAAACAATGAGTTGGAACATAAGGAAGAATGAGGAACAGAAAACTAAGGATGGAGTAAAGGACAAGAAAGTCCATAAAAATAAAAGGTAAACTGAAGAATGGTATAAGGTAGAATATTTTATACAATTAATGTGATTGTGCTTGCCTGGGACTTGATACCTTAAGAAAATCATGGTTTATTCTTATTGAAATCCTCAGCATATAAAAATACTTGATCAAAAATCTATGGGGGTTTTCTTATTAGAGTTGAAAACGAATTTTAGGAAAGGTTGAACCTATAATAAAATCTGACACAAAATACCATTGTTTGCACAGAGTTCAGAGACAGTAATTGGCATATATTCGTTACATATAATGTCGGTCTCAAGGTATTTTCAAACAAGTATATCATGTATTTTGATCATATTCATGTCCTGTATTTTCCTTTATCCTCACTCTTTACTTTAAATTCAAAGTCCACACAAGTGTTTCCATCTCTTTCTCCATTTTATTCCATTATAATTCTCTCAAGCAAGGACAAAATATTCAAAAGGAGCTTAGGATATAGATACTCTCCTCCCCCACCCCCACCACCGCAAAATTACAAGCTATAGTCACTGCTCTTGATCTTGCTGGTAAGACCTTATTGCTGAAGATACCACACACTTGAGTCACTTGAAGAAGTATCATTCCTACTGGTTAGCTTTCATTGTAGAAAGGTACTATTCATGCTATGGAGGGAATTAAGTAATTAATAGTATTAGCCAGCTAAGCTGTCAGTGAGTGGCCTGGTAAGAGATGCCTGCCAGTGCAATAGAACGATATGGGAGTAAGCAATCAGTTTGTGATTAGATTGAAGATTGTTCCACTAGGTGGAACTCATGCCTGTCACCTGGCACCTTTAATGGGCCCAGGAGCCTATAGCTGGGTAAACCAAAAGTCCCAAATGGAGAAACTACTACTATTACTCTGCTGAATGGATACAGTATTAAACCTATTCTAATGATACTTTTCTTTATAATCAGTGATCAGTGCAACTTTCAACTTTCTTCAGGGAAGCTTTCTTTCTCAAACTGTCAGCCCCAAATCATAACACAGAGAATTGTTAGTTATGAATGCTCAGTCTTAACGTATGCTTGTTCCACTAGTTCTTATACCATAAATTAGCCTGTTTTTCTTCATCTATGTTTTGCCTTGAGGCTTTTTACCTTTCATTCATTCTGCATGTTCTCCTCCATGACTGGCTGGCTGGTAGCTGCCTGGCTGACTGGCTCCAGGCGTCTCCCTGGCTTTCTACATCATTCTCTCTGGAGCCTAGATTCCTCCTCTACTTATTCTCTCTGCCTGCCAACCCCACCTCTACTTCCCAGTTATTGGCCATTCAGCTTTTTATTGGATCAATTAGGTACCTTAGGCTGGCAAGGTAAAACAGCAACACATCTTTGCCTAGTTAAACACATGCAGCATAAGCAACTGTAACACACTTTTATACAGTTAAAGTAATATTCTACAATAGTGATTAATACAAGGACACAACTAATCAGTATGAAGATAATGAGAGACCATGGTGTGCTCAGCCCTAAATGATAGATCTATATATCACACACCCACAATCCAAGGTTCCAGGATCATTCTGAAAGAGTGGGCAAAAAGACTAAGAGCCAGAGGTAGCAAGTGAGTACAGTGAAGCACAACTATCTTGATATGACAGGGCCACATGAACTCACAGATGCTACTGACTGCATGTGCAACACGTGCAGAAGATCAAGGAAGAAAATCTCCCACCTCTAGTTGAGCAGCTATACACCACTGATGGCTTCTGGTAAAGAAGAGGCAGATTTCTTCAGGGATGTGGCCCACTATGTACCAGTAGACAGCCCTATACTTAATGCACATTTGGGCATCACCAAGTAGACTTTGTGGGTTTAAAGAGAAAGCAGAAGAAATTCTGAGGGAATAGTGGAGGGGATATGGGAAGAACTGAGGGGGAAGGAATGGGAGTGGATTTAACCACACACATTATATGTATGTATGGAATTCTCAAACAATAAAAAGAATATCATGTAAATACATATGCACACAACCTAACTAACACAGCATGCTTAAAAATATTATCCTTCAAAAGTTTTAATTCTAAATCTAGTACTTGCCTTAGTAACTTTGATTTAGAGATAATATCCAGAAATTCTAAAAATGGCTTATAGTCCAAGCAATAAATGGCATAATAAAATGAGCAAACAGGTTTCAAAAGATAAATTAAAAAGGTGCACATCATTAAGAAAAAATGTTCAACATCCTTAGTCACTAGGGCAATAAAAATTAAAACAAAACTGAGATTTCCACCATAGCTGCTCAGAATTGCTATCATTAACCAAACATTATTAATAATAGGATGTGGAGAAAATGGAACCCTCATATACTACTGCTGATAGGAATATAAACGGAGTCACTCTATCCCTGGTGATATACTCAAATGTCTCTAAATCAACATATAACACAGTAATGTGCATACTCATATTTACCTCAGCAGTATACACAATCAACAAGTTACTGAATCAGGTTAGGTATCCACTAAGGGATGACAAAAACTATTTTCCACACACACAAAATGGAGTTTATTTAGCCACAGAGGAGAATGAAATTGTGCATCCGGGCAGTGGGACAGTGGTGTACACCTTTAATCTCAGCACTGAGACGGCAGAGGCAGGTGGGTATCTGTGAGTTGGAGGCTAGCCTGGTCTACAGAGTGAGTTCCAGGACAGCTAAGGCTACACAGAGAAACCCTGTCTCACAAAACAACAACAAAATGTATGGGATTGAAGAGCATAATAGTAAGTGAAATAAGTCAGACTCAGTGTAAGCCTATTTCCCTATTTGCTGAGTCTGCTTTGCATCCTTTTACTAGATCCCTAGGGAAACTACCTGCAGTGCCCTGTGACTCCTGCTAGTAAATATGAAAACACTATATACATTAATTATGTGCAATGTTTAGATAAACATCTTAGAATGTATAGACACTAAAATCAGCTGAAAGAAGAAATATCATTTTATATACCAGCTTCTCAAGAAGAATGAAATTAGCTAAGGACAGCTTTTACTAACACAAGAATTATAAAATTTTGTGATCTATATTTGCATAACAAAAAACATTTAAGAAGGCATTATTTACTATGTAGGATGACATATACAATTAACTACCCCTTCCATATCTATTTGTACTTCTCTTGTGAATTAAAAAGTAAAAATATTGGTGGTTCTGCTTCCACCTGAGCAAGGTGGTCATGGCCCAGCTGCCAGATGGATAGAGCCCAGAGACCAGCCACTCTGGTGCTGACCCAGGCTCGCTTCGCCAGGGGCAAGTGTTCCTAGGCACAAGCACTGTACTTGGCTTTCACTGGCCAGTGCACGAGTTGCAGGAGCAAATGCAGCCCCGAGGATTTGGTCATCACATATAACAACAGGGGACAAACCAAGTACCTCAGCGTTGATTTTTATGAAGCCATGGATGACTACAAATCTGCTGTAGAAACCCTGCCCAACTCTGAAGTTCCGTATTACAACAGGGGCTTGATATGCTTTAGGCTGGGATATTTTGACAAAGCTTTGGAAGATTTCAAGAAAGCACTAGACCTCAATCCTGAATTTCAAGATGCTATTTTGAGCTTAAGACAGACTATTTTAGACAAAGAAGAAATGCTGAGAAAAGTTACTGAAACTTTTTTTTGGGGGGGGGGATTTTGAGACAGGGTTTCTCTGTAGCTTCGGAGCCTATCCTGGAACTAGCTCTGTTGGACCAGGCTAGCCTCGAACTCACAAAGATCCGCCTGCCTCTGCCTCGCAAGTGCTGGGATTAAAGGCATGCGCCACCACCGCCCGGCATTACCAAAACTTTTAATTTATTAAAATTTTAACTCATGATCCTTAAACCTCCACTAAGATATACATGGAACTATTTTGATTATATGTAAGAGACTGAATTTTAGAAGTTAAAGCAAAATAATTGTTTAATTAGAGTTATTCATTTCAAGAAAGGCCATGTTGGTTAGATCTCTTAATAGAGTAAATAAGTAATATCAATGTACATTGTTATGGTAAAATATTTAAATCAAAAAAGTAAAAAGATTAAAAGCAGTCTACCTTTTTTATCTTGGCCTTTTCAGCTTTTTCTTCTTTATCACATTTCTTGGCATTCCTATTAAGTTCTTTTGCAGCAAACTTCAAGCTAAATAAGTGTTCTGAAAATATAGGTTAAGGCCAGCTAGTCAGAAAGTCATTTTTCTAGCATAAAGACCCACAAACTTGACATTAAAAAAATCATCAAAAAATGATCAGATAGTATTATAATTTAACTAACCATAAAACTTCAGAAAGAGAACTATTTCTTTTAAACTTCCTTTCATCCAAAATCAAGAAAATAAAATATTAATTACAAAGGAAAATAACTATTCTAAAGAAACTGGGTAGACTTCATTTTAGGAGTTTAGTGTCATCAGTAAGAAAGCATGTCCATATTATTATCTTTCTGAAAGAGAGGAAGGCATCATCATCATGGCACTGTTGCTATAAACAAACTCATTTGTTGTAACCTTTCAAGAGTCAAATTCATGAAGAGCAAGGAACAACTCAATAAGTGTCACAAATTGGAGACTACAGAGACAAGGTGGTTGACTAATGAAACTCTACTGGAAAGCTCTGAGAAACTTTACCAATATGAAGGCAAAGCAAGAATGTGGAGGCAGAACTAAAGCAGAGAGCATGGAGTAACTGCTTACTAGCTTGCTCCGCTTGCTTTGCTTTCTTATTATCACCTAGGGCAATGTGCCCAGGGACAGCAGAACAAACATTAAATCATTAATCAAAAAATGCCTCAGGGAGCTGCCTACAGGTGTTCTCTCTTCCCAGATGATTAGCTTGTGTCAAGCTGAACAATAAAACCAACCACTACAAGTAAAACAGAAAACTGAAGAAAGCTGAGGAGAAGATGAGCTACCTGGAATACAGATCTGAATTACAGGGAGAAGAGAAGAGCAACAGAAGTAGACTAAGATGGTTTTATAGTATCTGGAGTACTTGGGCTAGAGGACTGAATCTGTGGTTTTGTAAAAGCACTGCTGGCTCTTCTAGAAGACCCGAGTTTAATTCCAAGCATTCATAAAGGAGCTCCAACTGCCTATAACTCCAGTTTCATGAGATTCAGTGTTCTTCTTTGGCTTCCAAAGTCAACAGGCATGTATGTAGGACAGAGATACACATGCAGGTAAAACACTCCTACACATATAACAATAAATTAAGAATAAAAAAATTTAAAAATCTGGAATCCTATGGGAAAAGATAATAACAGTGTGTAAATGATGATACTTAATGAGAATGTGTGACTATTCTGTAACTAATGAGCATAATAAGATAGTTACAAACAGGCCAAATAAGCGTAACTCATATCTAGATGCATCATAGTAAACCTACAAACATCAAAGACTAAAATAACTTTGAAAGAACCACAGTCAAAGTTCAGACAATTTATAAATGATATAGCCAAACAGAGTAGAATTTCCAAATAAAACTCCTAAGTAATTACCAAAGGATTTATGGTTGTACACTATTCAAAGTAGTAATAGTCTATCAAACTGCCATAAATACCAGTGGCAAACACTGAAGTATTGCTTCTAAAGAGAATCTAGGGTTTGGTTCTTATTTGTTACATTTTCATCAACTGATGTATTTTATGTGTATTTCTGTTTTAACAACTATTTAATACATATTGTTGATTCAGTAATAGCAAATTCTTAGCTAAAAATTATTAAGTAATTCTTTAGCTATAATTCATGACTGAAAACTTACATAAAATAATAATTTTATCTACAAGGCACACCACAGCCTTCTCATACTAAAAACACTAAATAGCACATCAGGACCTATAGTTGGGGACTATTTTAAATAGTGGAATTATAAACATAAGGCACAGAAATACAGAAAATATGGTATTAAACAGAGAGCAGTAGATACTCATTTACAGTAGAGGCATTCATTCCCTTTCCTAAGTGGGAAATAGGAATATTGGATGAGTCCAAAGTTTACTAATCTAGGCAAGTTAAAAACATCATTTGTGCTAGTTTTCTGTTAAGTTTTGTCACGTAAGCAAATTTGCAAATACAGAATATTTCAATAATAAACTTAGCTTCTCAAGAAACTAAACTAGATCTAACAAAAGGCTTAAAGAGCACAGAATGTTATCCAGGAAATGCTGTTTACATTAGAGAATCACGGTGTCCAATTTTAAGATTAAAAATGCAGAACACAAGCAGAGGAAAATACCTAAGACAAAGGAAAGGAGGAGTTGAGTATGTTAAAACATTCGTGCCATTCACAAATAAACTGTCATTCATTAAATTTAACATTAACTATGCATGTTAAAATTTCAAGGGTAGCACTAAAAAATAGTATGTAACTTCCAAAGTAATAAAGGAAAAAAAATGTGAACCATTTACAGACTCAACAGAAAGCAACAAAAGAGTAACAAATCTAGAGATAAAAGGCCAAACAGAAATTATACATTAAGTAGAAACTTCTTTCAAATGTGGGCTGGCCAAATAGCCCAGTGGGAAAAGTGCTTGCTTAACAGGCCTGATGACCTGAGTTTTATCCCCAGAACCCATATAAAAAAGGAGTTCCATTCCCAGAACATACTTTAAAAAGCTTCACGGGGTGATATGCATGCATCTGTAATCTCAAAACTCTTACTGAGAAATAGGAAGAGAAGACTAGAGAACTGCCCAGAAGTTCTTGGTCAGCTAGGCAGGAATACACAGTGCAGCAGAAACATTAAGAAAGACTATGTCTGTATAAGGAAGAAGAGGAGAACTGAGTCTCAAAGGCTGACCTGTACATGTGTACTGTAGTGCAAACACAAATGAGTGAAGATAAATAAAACTCAACAAGAAGAAACATTCAAAAATTATGATGGATTAAAAAATAATGAACCAAATGATATACAGGACTTTACAATGCAAGGACATTGAATGATAAGATGGCAAAACACAGAAAAAATAATCAAACAATATTCTAAAATAAGAAGCCACGAGTTTATTATTAATTAAAACAATACAAAAAGTCAGTAAAGAATCTGGAATCAAGAAATATATCAATATACCTTAAGAGTATACATATATGATTAATATATAAAGAAATGACCTGCAATCATTAATGTTAACTTTTAGATAGTAGCATCTGCAGTAAAAGAAAAGAGGAATTTAACTGATAACTTTATAGTATCTTAGGTCAAATAGAAGGCTCTCAGGAACGTTTTACTCTTTTTCTTAACTTTCTTAAGAGGGAAGGATTAACATTACACGTTTTAAAAAATCAATTTAGAATAAAAAGTTAGTGTTTGTTTGGCATAAAATATGCATTCAATAAGTTATATTATCATTTACTAAATTTCAATTTTAATAAAGAAATTTATTTAGAAAGTATATCAAAAGTTCAAGTTTGTCTTTAGAGCATTATATAAAACTAGTATGCGCTATTACACTGTTTTTCTCCATTACAGCTTTTCAAAAATCATTAGGATTCCAAGAATTCATTGTATATAAAGAAGACTTAGTTTAAAATAGCATTCATCTCCTTACTATAGAAAATCTGTGACAGTTCACTATAAGCTGATAGTAAGATCTCTAAATACAGTAGTTTAGAAGCTATTTTATTACAAATGCCACCAACTAGATTATACGATTCCTGATGAACAGAAGTAGAGGTTGAAAAAAAATACAGGTGAGAGGTAAAAAAGAGTTTCCAGGAGAGTGTTGGGCTCTCGTGAGAGATGGCTCAGTTATGGTTAGCATTTGCCAGTCCTGCAGAGGATCAGAGTTTCCCATGCCAGGTAAGTCAAAATCATCTCTAGCTACAGCTCTGCCAGGATCAGACACTCCTTCGGTCTCTGCATTCATGTGCTCAGACCCAGACATACACATAAACACACATTAAAATAATTAGAAATAAATCTTTATTTAGTTGTTCCACTAATAGCTGTCCTACGATAAAAATAATGGTACCAATATCACGGGACATTTATTTGATAAGTGGCATTATCCTTTTACCTTTCTGTCATTGTAAGCACCTTAAGTACTCCTGTGTATGTTTTAGGGAGGTAAATTTGGAATCAAAGAATCAGGTGAGGTCATCTGAACTAAAAGCAACTTTAGAGATAATTTTACTAATTTGAAAACATAAACTTACAGATGGATAAGCATGGAGTAACTAATGAATATAGAAACAAAGAGGAACTCAAAAGCAGCTTATCTCTTAGGTCATACATTGTATTTTAACAATTACAGGGAATTGTTCAAATTGTCCTTTAAATGGTATGGAAAGGAAGACCCAAAGTAACGTTTAATACTTCTTGTAAATGACAGCATTCTGTTGATCCCACAAGCCATAAATTACGTACATATTAGCAAGGAACCAATTTAATGATACTGTAAACACTGGAACTAATTCCAGTAAAGAGACTATGCCTCCCACTGACCCTTCAGAAAGGTTGACTTAACTGATTAGAGTTTCCTTGACTGAGGAGAGCTTGGAATTTTGCAGGTCCGGGCCCTGCTTTACAATTTCTCTTGGGCTATCTTTAGTCCCCTTAACAGCCATTCCTTGGCCACCTGGCTGACCTAATATCCTGTGACTAACAGATAAAACATTCTGAAATATATTAACAGATCAGCAGCTTCCACCAAGCAAAAGGCTGACTGTTCTCGGATATATCTGAGGCTGGGATTTTCCCTCTTTGCTGTGACCCATCTAGCTGATGTCTCCACTGATATGTTAGGAAAGAGTCTCGAATTACAACTTTATTCTATTACTATCAAAACGCATTAAATTATCACCACATTGGAACATGGAGTTTGGGAAATCCTGAATCTATGTCCTTAGGCCGTGATTACTCAGATTTCACTCATATTTAACTAGGACGCCCCTTTCAAGTGAGAATGGTTATTTATGTTGACAGTACCTTGATAAAAAATACATCATAGTGTATTTTATCAAGTCTCACAAGTCTGGTACCAGTATATAACTCGTTCTGTTTTAGGATTTAAAGTGATTCATAAGATCTGCAATGACTAACAGCTATTTTTAAGGAGCTAGCTATTTTTGTGTACACATAGCCCCGGGTGATAGCTGTCCAGAACTCCCTTTTTGAACTCAGAGTTATGTCCAGAACTTATCATGAACTTCATTGGTTCATAACCTCCTTCAAGTTAGAATGCATAGAAATAATCATGGCTACAGACAGTATCCCTAGCAAAAAAAGGCACATAGTAATATTCAAAACTGTGCACACAATTTTAAACCATTTAGTTTAACTCTACACATCATCATTCATATGATTCAGTAGGAGTTATTTTGCATTAGTATTTATGTTCATATATATGTGACCTCTGGCCCCCAGATCCAAAGCTGTTAAAAGTTGGAAGTAGTATGTATGTTTACGCACATGTATCCACTATATAGGTATATGGTTTAGTCAACTAGCTCCGTTCCTTTCCAAATTTCTAGGAAAAGAATTAACAATTTTAAGCTATTCAAATAACTCACACATCAGTGTTTGGTCAAAAATACAATTTGGTAGGCACTACCATTTCCTTTTACCTTAAGAATACCTTCCTAGGGTTGAAAGGTCAGTTAATACACTTTCCGAATGAGTCAAGTGGGTGACAGAGGATGGATGCCATGCCTTAACTCGGTTTTTTCCCCTTTGGACATGGGGGAAAGAAAACTTATCTTCTGACTCATAATTCTGAGCCCTTCACTTTACGGTATTATTAAAAGTACACTACATTCATTACTTTTTCTAAAGTGCAGTAGAAACTGGGCCTTTCTTAATCATCTATTCTTTTCAATGAAATGACCTATCTGCATCCTTCCTCAAAGGATAACATTTTAATTTTCGACATATTTTGGCTAGTGCTACACAAGTTATGTTAGCAAAATTTTATGTGTGACATAAAATTTAATTCATCAAAAAGTTTGCCTGTATAAACTAATGAACCAAAACACCTTCTAAAATAGCTACTGAACAGTTAGCTACATTTTACCTTCTTGCCACTTTGGCCTGGGGGGGAAAAAGGCCTGGAAAGAAAAAGCCAATTATTCTACCTCTAATGCCAACTTCAGGAAGAAGTAAGAATTACAGCAACATGGAGTTGCTGTGATGGAATTTTAGTAGTGAAAAAAACATTCATACTCATGACATCACGAGGCAGCTTCATTCTTATCCCCTAAGTGTCCACACAGGTATGGCTGATGAGATTTCAAGGCTTCAGGAATGACCTTAGTTTCCTCAAGTGTTTGTTAAATTAGCATGCAGCAGGTTCAAAAAGCAATCAAGAGTTAGTGCGGAGGGCTCCTGGCAATTGCTCAACCTTATCACCTCAGTCACCTGCAATCGGAAAAGGGCAGCTCGCCAGAAACTATTCGTCCACGCAAAGCACTCAAACCCAACATCTCCGCCTCACAGCAAGCATAGGCAAACTCCAGCCGCCTCCCCTCTGTTCTGGCACCATTCCCTGTCAATTTCAAAGATGACAAAATTCACTGATAAGGCAGGTGACAGAAGTGCTCAACAAGAAGCAGGAGGAGCTCAATTATCTCCATCTGTCCACAGGATTCCCTGACCCTCCCCACATTCTAGGATGGCGGTGGCGGCTGCAGCAGCAGCGAGGGGGGGGGGGGCGAGTCAAACCCCCGCTGCTCCTGGCTTGTGCTTGAGCGCCTGCACGCCACCCGCGGACCTAAAAGGTCAAACCCCTGGGCGTGTCTCCTGCCCCTGCCTTTGCCCTTTCCAGGTTCCCAGGGCCCCGTAGCACCCCCGACCGTTGGAAAGGATACTCTCCATGTTCGACATGATCTCACGAGTTCGCGGGGCTCGGAGGGGGGTGGGGGCTTTAACACTAGGGACAGGGACTGGACCGGTGGCTGGTCGCTAGGGTGCGGGGAGGCAGGCGCTGCTCCAGGCTTCTGGGGTTCCGAGCCCACTTCCTGTTTCGGTTCGGGGCGGGGGGGGGGGGGGGGGGGGGGGGGGGGGGGGGGGGGAAGCAGTGGTGGGTGGAGTACCGTGAGCCACAGAGGCGGGTCTGGGAAGACGCCAAAATGGCTGCAGTGAGTTGCCTTGGTTAGGACGGGCTCCATCGCTGGGGGGCGGTGGAGATCCAAGAGCCCTGGCCGCCAAGGTCCCTCCCCCTCAGAAGCTTCACGTGCGCTCAGGATAACTCGGTGCTCAACCTGGTCCGGCATCCCACCAGCCTTCTAGTTCTTTCTTTTGTCAACCGGGACTCCGCTTAACGTCCTGCCCCACCTCGAACCTCAGATTTCACACTGTCTTTGGCGTCCCCCATCTCTTTTTCTCAGAACTTAAGTCTTAAAGGATGAAGACAAAGGTATAGGACTTTTAAAGTACTTTTTAAAAAAAAATCTAACAGTGTAAAATAAGGGCTTGAGGGGTTAGTGCAGCTGGTAATGTTGAGGTTTTCTAAAGGCTCTGATCCTTCGCGTTTGAGACTAGAAGGGGAAGGGGGAAAGTGAGGCTCTGCTTGCAAGGTAATGTTGCTGCAAAATACCTTTTCTTTAGAATAGACAATGTGTGATGTAAAATTAATATAAAATCTTTATAATGGGTGGGAGTGGGTTATTATAAGCAGTAGATAGTGCTTGGCGTTTTTTACATGCGACTTATGAAAATGTCCAGAGGTGAATGTATTCGATGTCCTCTCTGGACTTAGGAAAAGAGGGAATCTTAAGCATTATTGGGACGTTTTAATTTTGTTATGATAGAAATTACATGTACTAACATATAACTTTGAAAGTTGGTATAATTATCGTAATTGATAAGTGTCAGAAGTTCGTCATTTATTGCATCTTTAAATTCAACCTGTGGAAATGACATATTTTTATCCTTAGGATTATTTCTTTAAAAAAAAAAGCTGGCTCTAAAAGGGAATATTTTGTTTTGTGCTGATGGTGGTTGGCAATGAGTTTCAGACTGTCTTCTAACTAGGAACTGAACTGTCGGTGCTTCTTTAAAGAAAAAAGGGGGAAAAAATCCTTTCTCAAGACAAGGCTCTGAGGAAGTGCAATCTAGAAATCATTTCAATAGACGGAACAGTGTAAAGATTATTTTTAGTTTTGTGTCTCACTTTATAGTTGAAGAACAAAACTTAGGTTATAAAAAGTAAAACTTTGGAAGTTCTATCAGTTTTCCGTGTGAGTTCCACAGTTGTATTCACTGCTGGAAAATTTGGGGATAAAGGTAAAGGTATGTTTTAAAAGATCTTTCCCTTAGCATTTACTATTTTTAGTATCATTCTGTCAGTAAAACCATAGGACAATCTACCAAAACTTAAACACTTCTAGGCTTTAAAAGCTGTGAGGTTGTTACAGTTACATGTATATAATGTATAAAAATAAATATTAAATCTTAATTTTTTTCAAATTATAGAATTTCCCAACAGTCATCTTCTTGGAATAAGACCATTTATTAAATAAGATACTTGTTTAAAGAGAGTATTTGCTCTTGCAAATACTCTTAAATTAAAAAAAAAAACCTGTTGTATAGCCTGCACTAAACTTAATAGTTTTTTTTTTTATTTTTAATGAGGTCTTTAATGCTTTGAATGCCAAAGTTATCCTCATACTTTCCTTGAATATCTGAGTTTTTAAAGTGAGTTTTATGAAAAAAATTAATTTAGCTAGAAAAATTGAAACTGCTTAAACTCTGTGTGTTGCGTTAGAATGACTGCTATAGAAAGAAGTGGCTCCCTGTTAATATTACAAAGCAGATTAGAAAAGTACAGAAAACAGACTACAGCTTGAATTATGTAGTAAGTGTTTGATACATTTAAACAGTATTTCTAAAATATATGCACCACAGTTTTCTGTGTATGGCATACAAAGTAATTCATTAGTAACCTGTCACCCAATTTCAGGAAATAATCCTATTTTCTCTGACTTCACCTGTGTTCACTTAGCAGGACGTTCCTAACTCCAGGCCTCTTTTCAGAAGCAGCTTCTTGTTTGAATTCATGTATAATCTCTCCACTTTTAAAAAATAGTTTTGCTGTAGTGTTTGCATTTCGAATCAATATATTAGAGTAGCCAGCTTTTTAATTTTCTTATATAAATGAAATCATACTGCTTTGTGCTCCTGTCCTGCTTTTGTAGCTCATCATATAGTTGCTAAACTGTGTTAAAATATACAGTGGTGATGGATTTATTGTGCTGCTCTAAAGTATTCCACTGTATGAATTTATCATTAATTTATCCATTTTCCTAATGATAGTATTTGGATTCTTTCTAGGTTGTTGTAACCTCTAGAAATATATGTGCCTAACATATATTTTGATGAAGAGTAACTTTCAAAATGCCCTGTGATATTTGTAAAAAAATTTTGTAAACTTAGGCAAATTTATTTACTTATTTTTATTATAATCATATTTCCTTTTGTTTGGGATAATCTTGTTTTTTTTGCCTATGCCTTTCTACTGGGTGTAGCAAAAACCTACTACCTTGTCTCATCAAATAGGTTGCTTCCTTTTCCTTTTTACTATGGTTATCCATAGCTTCTTTTGGGGCCAAACTATCTATGAAGATTTAAATACAGCAGTCTAAGTCCCATGTGGGATAGTAAAATATGATTATTTTCATCTGCTTGTACTTGGAAGGATGAACTGTAATTTCTATGGCTTTCTGCAGTAATGATGAAGATCTAAAGAAAGAGTGAATACCTTGTCTTAAGATGATTCCATAGCTATTGCATGTGTTAAAACTTAGCCTAAACAAAGCTAATGTGGGAAATTATAATAATTCCTCAGGAAATTGAGTGTTTTTCATGATTAATCATGGTTAGTTCTATTAATTGAGTTAGTTACATGAATAAGCCTTTTAAATGAAAATATTTATAAAATAATCTTAACATAACTACTAAAATTTTAATATTTGATGTGACTGCTTTGTGACAATGGCTTTTGTAACTTTTTAGCGAATGATTTTGAAGTAACTAGAAAGTATAATGGTTCATTACAGCTAAGCACCATTGAACTGGAAGGAAAGGAATGCTCTACAAATGAGAATAGTGTAGTTTTATACAATATTTTTCAGATTTTCCTGTCCTGTTAAAGTTGCAGGTCTTTCTAGATGTTCTCTAGGGAAAGAAGTTCAGTTGTAGAAATGCTGGAGAAGTATACACTGAGAAGTTTTCCCGTTTAGATCAGAAAACCTTTTTATTATGCCATTTCGGATCTCATTTGCAAATTGTAGCAGCAAAAAAAATATTGAAGTAACTGATGAAAGAGATTAGAGCTACTGAAGAGATAAAGCTCTATTTGTGCTAGCAAATAGAAGACCAGATGAAAACATAGTTTAAACACAAGCAATATGGTCAGGTGTGGCGTCACAGGCCTAGAAACCTAGCACTCAGCAATATGGTCAGGCATGGTGTCACAGACAGGCTTAGAAACCTAGCACTCAGGAGTCAGAGGCAAGAAAATTGCTGAAAGGTTGAGGTCAGCCTGGTCTACATAGTGAGGTCTAGGTTAGCCAGGGCAGCATAGCAAGATGATTTCAAAAAAATTATTCTCCCCAAAATAAATAAATAACACTAACAAAACTAATACAAACAAAAGGAATAGGTATGATTGATTGACATAGGTGTCCTAAAAATCATTGAGTTTATGATTAGAAAATGATAAATGAATTTATGAGATAAGATATATAAAGAGATAAACATAAAGGTAGGCATGGTGGTGCAAGTCTGTAGTTCCAGCACTTAGGAGGCAGAGGCAGGCAGATCTCTGTGAGTTTGAGGCCAGCCTCGTCTACAAAGGAGTTCCAGGATAGCCAGGGTTCTTATACAGAGAAACCTGTCTCAATAAAATAAATAAATAAACAATATGTAGATATTTAATCTCTAGATTTCATTCTTATTTAAATAATAAAGGGTGATATTTGATCATTACAGTGTCTAGAATCATCAGAAGAATATTTTTTCAGTAACATCTGATTTTCACAGAGCAATCAAGACAAAATTTTCCCTCTGTCAGGAAACCTTTTGAATACTTTAATAATCAAAATAAAATTACACTTTATCACTAAAAGATGTGATTGATTCTTAAAAAATGGCATGATAAGAAAGAATAAAGCATTTGTTGTCATTAGAGATACTTTATACTTGAGAATAGTTCCACATTAATTTTAGAAATTGCACGATTGACAAATTGTTTAATATAGATATTAATATGCTGAGAAACCCATTATTAAATAAACCTTTTTCTTTATTATTTTTTCATGCAGACACTGTTTGAAGAAAATTGTTAAGTGGAGAAGTAAAAAGAGATTTTTTTGAGAAGTGCAAATGAAGACAAAGTAAGAAAAGATAGTTCCTAAAAAAACTGTCATGTATTCTTACATTCTATTTTATTGGCCACTGAACCAGCACATTTACCTATAGATAGTGAATTTCTTTACTACTTTGTTATGAGCATACAACTCTTCACTCCATACTGATTTTCAAGTCAGAACTCCATCAAAGTCATTAACATGGCTCTTATTAGTTTATCTAGTAAAATTAGAGAAACACCTAAAATGGTTTTTAAAATTTGAGTCTTCTGTATTTATTGCATTAAATAATTTTGGAATATATATTATATTCGATAATTATATCCAGTGGTTCGGGGATATTATTCTACAGTGTGATCACAAATTTTTTCTCTGGCCAAAGATTTCTCATATGTTGCTATAGGCATTTGAGGTGGGACAGTTCTTTTGGAAATGGGGTTGTCATATGCAGCATAGGATGCTCAGTATCATTTCTGTCTCAGTCTGTAAACCAGTAACCCCCTCCAAGTTATGATATAGCTAAATATGTCTTGAGATATCACCAAATATTCTCCCTGGGATGCAAATCAGTCCTAGTT